TGGTACTGCTGCGCTAGGTGCTTGTGAGGCTGCCGCTCTAGGTGCCAGTGCGTCTGTGCTCTCAGGTACTGGTGAGACTGCGCTCTCAGGTACTGCGTCGTCCTCGTCCTCCCTCACTTTCACACTTGACTCCGGAGCTTCTCGCTCCTTCTTTCGAGACCGCACTACCCTTACGCCGCTCGGCCGGCCGGTTGCGGTCTCCCTTGCTGACCCCTCTGGGGGTCCTGTCCTGTCTCACTTCTCCACTGTCCTCCCGTGTCCGGCTGCCCCTTCGGGCACCCTGTCTGGTCTGTACCTTCCCTCGTTCTCTACGAACTTGGTGAGTGGAGCGGACCTGCAGGATGTGGGGGTTCACCAGTTCACTCCTGCGAGTCAGCGGGTGACCCACTGCACGGAGGCACGCACAGGCCGACACCTTGCCACGTTCTCGCGTCGGCCGGGGTCGAGTCTCTACACCCTGACCGTTGAGTCTCCTCCTGTCCCTGCGTCTGGTCAGGTGGCTGCGTCGGGTCAGGTGCTTGCTGCTGCGTCCCGGTCAGGTCCTGAGTCTGCCCCCTGTTCTTGTCGCCTCCTGTCTCACGAGACTCTCCTAAGGCACCACCGTCTTGGCCACCCCTCCTTGCCCCGTCTTCGGAGCATGGCTTCCCGTGTCCTTGTCTCTGGTCTTCCCCAGTCTCTCCCTCCTCTCCCCTCCGGGCCAGGACCTTCCTGTGTCCCCTGTGTCGAGGGTCGCCTCCGGGCTACTCCTCACTCCTCCCACTTCCCCTCGACAGAGGCTCCCCTGCAGACGCTTCACATGGATGTGTGGGGCCCAGCCCCCGTCCATGGGCAGGGTTACGAGCGCTACTTCCTGTTGGTGGTTGACGACTACTCGCGTTACACCACAGTCCTCCCCTTGCGCAGCAAGGGTGCGGTCACTGAGGTGCTGATCGACTGGATCCGTGAGGCTCGTCTCCAGCTCAGGAAGAGCTTCGGCTCGGACTTTCCTGTTCTGCGTCTGCACTCGGACAGAGGCGGAGAGTTCTCTTCTCGCCTTCTGCGGGACTACTGTCGTGCACGAGGGATCCGCCAGACTATCACGCTTCCGGACTCACCCCAGCAAAATGGGATTGCTGAGCGCCGCATTGGCATGGTCATGGATGTCGCTCGTACGTCCATGATGCATGCGGCTGCCCCCCATTTTCTGTGGCCGTTTGCGGTGAGGTACGCGGCGCATCAGCTCAACCTTCACCCCCGGGTCTCTCGGCCTGCGATGTCCCCAGCCTTGCTGTGGACGGGGAAGGTTGGCGATGCGTCTGTGTTCCGTGTCTGGGGATCTCGGGCGTTTGTCCGCGACTTGTCTGCGGACAAGCTGTCCCCTCGTGCTGCTCCCTGTGTCTTCCTTGGCTTCCCCACTGACGCCCCAGGGTGGCAGTTTTACCACCCCTCCTCTCGTCGTGTTCTGTCCTCCCAGGACGTCACGTTCGACGAGTCCGTCCCCTTCTACCGTCTCTTCCCCTACCGCACTCCTTCCCTCCCCCCTCCCCCGGACTTCCTTGTGCCGGTTCCCCCCCCGGTTGACCCCCTCCCCCCTCAGGTTCCTGCCCCCTCAGGTGTGTCCCAGGTAGACGCCGTTGACCCGGTCGAGATTACTGGTGACTCTGGTGCTGCTGCGGGTGCTGAGCCTGGGGGTGCTGACTCTAGGGGTGCTGTGCGCGAGGGTGCTGAGCCTGGGGGTGCTACTGCTGGGGGTGCTGGGCCTGAGGGTGCTACTGCGGAGGGTGTGGAGCCTGGGGGTGCTGAGCCGGGTGGTGCTGTGCCTGGAGGTGCTGGGTCTGGGGGTGCTGTGCTGGGAGCTGCTGAGCCTGGGGGTGCTGCGTCTGGAGCTACTGAGCCTGGGGTTTCTCCTGCTGCTGCGTCTCGCCGGGAGCCCCTCTCTCCACAGGAGCTGCGCGAGTGGTTCGCTCGCCGCTGGAGGCGTGCTGCTGATTCTGGAGGTGCTGCTGGAGCTAGAGCTGGAGCTTCTTCGACCGTCGAGGGTGCGGGTGCTGCCGGTCCTGGAGCTGCTGGACCTGAGGGTCCTCCTGGAGCTGGAGCTGCTGAGGGCGTTGGTGCTGAGCCTACTGCTGTTGGTCCTGCCGCTGGAGGTGTGGGTGGCGCTGGTGCTGTCGCTGAGGGTGCTGGTGCTGTCCCTGCTGAGTCTGGAGCTGCCGCGCGGCCTCGGGCGTACTTCGTTCCGCTCCTGCAGCAGGTTCTTGGTCTTTCTCCTCCAGTAGAGGGTCCACCGCCTGTCCAGTCGCAGTCCCTGCTGGAGCCTTCCTCTCCACTACTTGCTCCCTCTCCTTACACTGGTCCTACTGGAGGTCTTGCTGAGCGTCGTGAGCCTGCGTCTCGTCCCGCGTCGCCTGTTCGTGCTGCTCGCGCTAGTGGTCGCAGTTCGCGTCAGCGTCCTCCTCCTGTCCCTGGCACGCACCGGATGTCTTTGCGTCCGTCCACTGCTCCTCTGCGTGCCCCTTTGCCTTCTCCTCCTGAGTCCTCTCTTCGTGCACTTGCCGACCCTGAGTCGGACTCTCTTCGTGCTGCCAGTCCTACTGTCACGCGTCTGCTTGCTACTGTCGTCACTGACCCCTCCTTTGAGTCCACTGCTGCGTCTGCTCTAGTCGCTGAGCTCGTCGACTTTGCTGCTCGCTGTCGTCTCGACTACGCTGCTAGTCTTGTTGCTGAGTCTGTGTCTGTCTGTCCTCCGTCCGTCGGGGTGAGTGTGCTCTTGGCACGGACGTCCTAGAGGACAGGCAGGAGGAGTTACAGTGTCTAGCGGCTGCTTCACCTCATCTCGCGTCTGTACTGCTTGCCCCTGAGGGAGACCCGGATGCACTAGACATCCCGACTCCGCGTTCTTACGCGGAGGCCGTAGAGGGTCCCTACTCCTCTCAGTGGCAGGCAGCTATGGATGCAGAGATGGCTTCCTGGAAGTCCACAGGCACCTACGTTGACGCGGTTCCCCCTCCTGGGGCGAACATCGTCAGTGGCATGTGGATCTTCAGGGTGAAGCGGCCGCCGGGCTCTCCACCTGTCTTCAAGGCACGGTACGTTGCTCGTGGCTTCAGTCAGCGGCAGGGAGTTGACTACTTTCAGACCTTCTCTCCCACCCCGAAGATGACTACTCTTCGGGTGCTGCTGCACATAGCCGCTCAGCGCGACTACGAGCTTCACTCTCTCGACTTCAGCACTGCGTTCTTGCAGGGTAGCCTGCACGAGGAGATCTGGCTTCGCCGTCCACCTGGCTTCACTAGGACTTTCCCTCCTGGCACCCAGTGGAGCCTCCGACGGCCAGTCTACGGTCTCCGCCAGGCACCGCGTGAGTGGCACGACACACTGAGGACTACGCTTGCGGCTCTTGGGTTTGCTCCTTCTACTGCTGACCCGTCGCTGTTTCTTCGCACCGACACTTCCCTGCCGCCGTTCTACATCCTCGTGTACGTTGACGACTTGGTCTTTGCCACAGCGGACACTGCTGGGCTCGCCTACGTGAAGTCCGAGCTGCTGAAGAGACACACGTGCACAGACCTGGGTGAACTGCGCAGCTACCTTGGCTTGCAGATCACTCGGGACAGAGCACGCCGCACCATTACCTTGACTCAGTCACACATGGTGCAGCAGGTCATTCAGCGCTTCGGCTTCACGTACTCCTCGCCTCAGGCCACTCCTCTGCCTACTCGCCACTCACTCTCAGCTTTGCCTTCGGATGAGTCCGTAGAGTCGAGTGGTCCGTATGCAGAGCTTGTTGGCTGCCTCATGTACCTGATGACCTGCACACGACCTGACCTTGCATACCCTCTGAGCATTCTTGCATGCTATGTTGCTCCTGGGAGACACAGACCAGAGCACATGGCTGCAGCAAAGAGGGTATTGCGCTACCTGTGCAGTACTTCGGGGATGGGGCTAGTGCTTGGAGGGCGGAGTCCAGTGGTCCTTACCGGCCACGCGGACGCTTCTTGGGCTGACGACCAGTCTACGCAGCGGTCGTCACAGGGTTACACCTTCAGCCTTGGTTCCGGGTCTGTCTCGTGGCGGTCTACTCGCTCGTCTTCGGTTCTCGGCTCCAGTTGTGAGGCTGAGATCTACGCCGGGGCCATGGCTGCACAGGAGCTTCGCTGGCTCACCTACCTGCTGACTGACCTTGGAGAGCCGCCTCGTTCTCCTCCAGTGCTGTACGTAGACAACAAGGCCATGCTGGCCTTGTGTCGAGAGCAGCGCTTGGAGCACAGAACGAAGCACATTGCTCTCCGCTACTTCCTTGCTCGTGAGCTGCAGCAGCGTGGTCAGCTGCGACTTGCGTACGTGGCCTCTGAGGCCAACACTGCTGATGTGTTCACCAAGGCACTCGCGCCTTGTGACCATCAGCGCTTTTGCACCCAGCTGGGTCTTGTGCCTGTCTTGCCTCTCTTGCTCTCCTCTTGACTTCACTTGTACTGTGACATATATATATTTATATACCTGCTCTTGCTTGTCTAGTTTTATATATATGTCTGTACTCCTGCATGTGAACTGGCCTCTGGCCCTCCTCTTGTGCTCGGACTGTGTGGTGACTTTGTGATCCACCCTGAGCGTGCTTTGCTTTGCTTGACTGGTCTTGTGACCCCTTGTTCTCCCCCACTTTGCCTATGGGGGTGTGTCAGATTTATATGACATAGTTTCTGTAGGCTATAGTGGGGCAGCACATATGGGGTAAAGGGTTTCTAGGGTTGTATTTGTACCCAACCTTTCCTTAGTCATTCCCATTCCTGTTCACTTCTTTCACAGTTGCGTGCACCGAATTTTGGCCTTTTCTGTTGCCACCGAATTGCCTTCTACCGAATTCGGTAAGGGTCTGTTCGTGACGCTACGCGACCCGCGGAACCTTCGCGTAACACCTGGTTACGGGGCTTTGTGTCGAGTCTATATATAGCCTCGTGTTGTACCCAGGTGATCATTCAAATCCATTCAATTCCATTCTCTTTTCTGAGCTCGATCCTAGATCCTCACACACCCCCTCTAGTGCCCTTGCCCTCCTTGCCCTTGCCGGTGCGGCGTCTCCCGCTCGGGGCAGACGCAGCGCCAACCGACTCGAAACCAACGAGGTTGGTTGCAGCAGCAGAGGCGACAGAGGGCAAGAGGGGGGAGGGAGAACACCCCTCAAAGACGGGGGTGCGAGGGTCACCACGAGAGGCTCCTACAGTGACTATGCTCTTCTCTATCGCTAGGAGGGCCTTCTCGAGGAGGTCAACGGTGAGAGTGGTGGGGCAAACTGAGAGGAAGTGGTCCCTGACTACGTGAAGAGAGTCTGGGAGCCGGGTGACTGTGTAGTAGAGGGTGATGTATATGGAAGGGGGGGGGGGGGGGGGGTTCTTGGCGCAGAACTCAACAGGGAGCGCAGCGCGGTAGCGAGTGTCAAGAGTGGGGAGGTGCGTAATGAGGTCAGCGACAGTGGGAAAGGCAGCAAGGTCAAGGAAGAGGAATGGTAGCATGAGGCGGCTCAGTGCAGCAGTGGCAGGGGAAGAGTAGCGTGCAACTACAACGTCGTACAAGGTCTGAGCACTCTTGTACTGGCTAAAGTGCGCACGCTCAGTGGTTGGTAAGTGGCGGCGAACAGCAAGGCGAGCAGCAGCATCACGTGTGGCCCACTTTGAGCAAACAATGGCGTCAGCATCAGCAGTAGGGGCAGGGGAGGCACCAAAAGTGAGTTCAAACAGGGAGAGGCCGTCTGCCCTATCGCACTGTAGAAAAAGCTGCAGATCATCTACCCAGACCTCAAAGTCCACTACCCGTCCCTCAGCGTCAAAGGTGAGAACGCTAGGGGAAGCCATAACAGCAGTAGCCAGGCAGTGAGGGCAGTGAGGCAGGGCAGTGCAGTGGCAGAGACTGGGCTCTTACTAGGCAGGTGGGGCGATCGGGCTGCTCGGCGTCTCGGGTGTCGGGCGGCTTGGCTGCAGGGCGGCTCGGCTGCTGGGCGGCTCGGCTGCACGGTGGTGGGCGGCTCGGCTGTCGACGGCTCGGCTGCTGGGCGGCTCGGCTGCCTGGCGGCTCGGTTGCTGGGCGGCTCGGCTGTCGCGCGGCTGGGTTGCTGGGCTGCTGGGCAGCTCGGCTGCCTGGTGGCTCGGGGGGTCGGATGGCTCAGCTGCTCGGCGCTGCGAGCGTTGGGCGGCGGGGTCGCAGATGGCGGCTGGCCGCAAGGGTGGGTGGGGCAGCGGTGGCGACGGGACGGGGCCGTAGCAAGGGCCTTAGAGGGGCCGTAGCGGGGCCGACGGGACCGTAGCGGGGCCTAAGTGGGGCCGACGGGGCCTAAGCGGGGCCGTAGCGGGGCCGACGGGGCCTAAGCGGGGCCGAAGCGAGGCCGACGGGGCCGACGGGGCCGTAGCGGGGCCTAAGTGGGGCCGACGGGGCCTAAGTGGGGCCGACGGGGCTGTATCGGGGCCGTAGCAGAGCCTAGGCGGGGCCGACAGGGCCGCAGCGAGGCCGTAGCGGGGCCGTAGCAGGGCCGACGGGGCCTAAGCATGGCGGACGGGGCCTAAGCAGGGCCGTAGCGGGGCCTAAGCGGGGCCGACGGGGCCTAAGCGGGGCCGACGGGGCCGTAGCGGGGCCGTAGCTGGGCCGTAGCGGGGCCTAAGCGGGGCCGACGGGGCCGTAGCGGGGCCGTAGCGGTGGACGTAGTGAGGCCTAAGCGGGGCCGACGGGGCCGTAGCGGGGCCGACGGGGCCTAAGCAGGGCCGACGGGGCCGTAGCGGGGCCTTTGCGGGGCCGACGGGGCCGTAGCGGGGCCAAAGCGGGGCCGTAACGGGGCCGACGGGGCCGTAGCGGGGCCGAAGCGGGGCCGTAACAGGGCCGACGGGGCCATAGCGGGGCCGTAGCAGGGCCGTAGCGCGCGGCTCGAGAGACAATAAGGGCGGCCAAAAGGGGCCACTAAGGCGGCTCGGGGCGCTACTCGGGTTAGGAGCTAAGCGCGCTCCAGACAGGGAAGGAAAAAGGTACGTGGTGGGCCCTAGGCAGTATTCCCACTCAGGAACCTGCTCGATACCATGATGAGAAGTGAGAATGAATGAATGAACTATGAAAGAGTTGGGTACAAGTACTAACCCTAATTGGGTTGTACCCCATATGGGCTACCCCACTACAGCCTACACAAATGTATAAGCTATAATGTGTTGAGAGAGCCAACATTTGCTAACGGCATCAAGGGTGACGGTGATCAACATCTACATTATGCCGATACGACTGTTTCAAGCGCAGATTTACCCGCCGCGGAAGGAGCTCTGGGGGAAGATATGGAAAACGTGCTACAATTACGTCTCAAAGGGAGAAGTGACGGCGGAGAAGATCTTTGTTCTCTGGAGCGGCGAACTGGCTTGGCTGCCGAGGAAGAAGAGGGGACTGGGGCTGATGGACCCGAAGGAGGGGCTGGACAGTCTAGCGATACGTCAGGTAGGGAAGTTTTTGACGGAGCAAGACATCACCAAGCGATGGTTGACGGAGAAGGCGGCGGCGATGCCGCAAGGGGTGGCGACGCTTTTCGCCCGTAAATCTGCGGGCAAGCACTAGGAGAAGGGGAGCCAGAGGTGGAAGGCGATTGCGGAGGTGTTTTGGGAATCCCCCTTCGCTGATCTGCCCGCGCCAACCTATAGCTGGGAGGCGGAGCGGGAGGTGCTCTGTTTCAACTGTCGCATCATGTACCGTGGGGGGAGCCCTTTCGGGAACCAGTAGGGTATGGCTTGTATCCTGAAGACCAGGCTAGGGGACCTGCTCACAACTAAGGAGGATGGGAGCAGAGATATCAAGGATGTCAAAACGTTAGCACGGGAGTTCGGAAGTGTGATGCCGGCCCGATGGGCGAAGAGAGCTTTCGATGCAGCCCCGGCGGAGTGGAGAGCGATGCTGGCGGCGCCCAGAACAGCGGAAGCGGTCGTGGCGGCGGCAAAGGTGGTGCGAACGGTCCTTGCGTGCACGCAGGAATTCCTGTATTGCACAGTGAGGGGGGCTAAGGAGGGAGCAGTGGAGATAGATGTTCTGAGGTGCCCAGATGGTCTAAACTTGGTAGCACCGCTGAGACCGATTGCGGCCGCTTTTCCAGCCAAGAGGGTGGAGCTAGTGGCAGTCAAGGGGGGTAAGGTGCTTGGGGCGATGGGCGAACTGAAGGTCAGGCTCTGCCAAACCTTGTTGGTGGGGGACAATCTACGTGCGGCGGCGCCTAAGGAGATTAGGAGAGTGCTCGCGGGGCCGGCGGGGACGTCGAGACGCATGCATGAGTGGGATGAGGAGCTAGGCAGGAAGAGTGACTTGAAGGCGGTGAGGGAGAGGAGAGACTCCCTGGCAATACCCTGCAGAGCGAGAGATGTGGTGCTGAGGATGCATAGCAAGAATTTGCAGGTGGGGGGGAGGCTGGTTTTTCTGGGCCCTAAGGGGTGTTGCCCGTACTGTGGTGGCCCAGAAACCCTCGACCACTGCATGCGCACCTGCCCTGTCGTCCAGCCAGTGACGGCGCGCTGCTAAGGTCGCTGGAGATGTTAGACCCGGCGGATCGGACGTGGTCACTTGGTGACATGCTCTTCTTGGAGGGGGCCACGAAGTCCGGTTTTCCGAGGGGGACTTTGACAGCAGTGGTGATGCGAAGAATCTGGTTGGCCAGAGTGGATGCAATATTCCGGAATGAGAGGTTTCGGCGGAAAAAGGTGGCAAGGGCGGCAATTTATGACTTTATGCGACATGCGAGGCTGTACATAGCGGAAAAGTTGAAGAAGGCATTGACGAATAGTGCGCAGGGGCAGGCACGGGACCCGTGGGACGGCTTGGCAGGAGATGAGAGAATGGCGGTCTTGGTCAGGCGGTTGCTGCGACGCTTCGACTCTTCTGACTCCTCGACTTCGTACTCGGTAGAGTCGGCTCCTGCGGCATACAGGAACGTCTTGACTCTTGCTCATAAAACTTGATATCGTAACAATTGGCTTGGCCTCTATATCCTTCGGCCATTTTGACTTGGGAGCGTGTGCCGCTCGCCACCTTTGGTTCGGCAAATTTTACGGAAGTAGTGATGCGAAGAATCACTGACTTGCCTTCATACCATGTTACAACCCTAGACATGACTTAGCCTGGTATCGGCTCAGGGTTGATCGCATGTGAATTTAGAAAGCTTGCTTTCTTGCATGTAGCAATTGGCATCGTCTCATTTCAAATGGGTTTAGTACAATTGAAATCCAAGCAGCGTCATTACAATAATATGCCTCTATGTTATCAACGCTATCCTGCTTTCGAGGGGGGGTGGGTGGGAAGATCGGCTAAACCGTTTGAAAATGAGAGACGTGGGTGGAGGGAAATGACCTCCAGCCTACGTTTTGTACTCCAAAACGGGCGTTTAGCGCGGCTCGACGCTGCCAAATCCTACATTACAGGCAGCTTCGCTTTCAAAATACATAATTTTAAAAAGCGTTACAGCTTTTGAAAATATACATTTTGCTGCAGCGGAAGTGTTTGACTGAGAATGTAAAATGACTGAGATAATAAACGCATGCGTATACAAAGGGAAAACGAAACGTCCTAGCTAGCCGTGTACTCTAAGGGGTACATTCCCTTATTACAGCGAATTCAAAGTGTGCGGCGTGGGAACGCGTTTCAAACCTGTTGGAATGTTTCTGCCTGCGCTGGTCTCGATCTGACGGTTGCCAGTGTCGCTTCGGTTCTTCTGCCTCCTCTGTCTTCGTACTCGGTAAGGTCCGCTTCTGTAGCATACAGGAATGTTTACTCAACAATTACACGACTTCTGTATCCGTGACGTGGCGGCAATTCATGTTCGGTACAGAATACGCCTTTTCCTAGAGCCTTCGTCACTCTCCTCCTTCGTACGGCCTCCTGCAGCCGCAAACGAAGCAAGCAAGACTTCGTTCGTCGCGGTTTTCGGCTCACGGTTCACGTAGGTAGCCGCGCCGCGCACCGACACTCGTTTCCTGCGACGACGAGTCAATCTGGTTGACTCCTCCATCTGTCATTCCCTTCCGCGCATCCTTCCCCCGCCCCCTCCGCACTGTTTCATCAATTCCTTTCCTTCCCCCACACCCTGCCCGCCAGCTCGTATCACCACCTCTCCCTTCCCTCACAACATATATTCCCCACAAACCCAGCATCGTTGTAAGATCATTTCTTGCTGCTTCAGCTCTTCACAACTCCAAATTCAGGCTCAAAAAGGTTTTTCCCGACGTTGTAGCGCTCATCCTCGTTCGCAGCCAATGATGGCTAGCGTCCCTCCCTTCGCCGTGCGTAGTACTCGTCTTTCCCACGCAGCGCTGCTGTGTCTCGTCATCTCCATCGCGCTCTCCGCGCCGTGCGCCGTGCGCGGCGCGCCGGGTCCCGCCGCGACGTCGATAGCGGCGACACTGGCGAGCGCGGAGTCGCCGTCGCAGTCGTTCAACGTGTCGCTGCTCGTCCTCAACGCCACCGGGCTGCTCGCCAAGCTGCCCTCGCTCGCGCCGCTCACTCTCTTCGCGCCCACCGACGCCGCGTGGCGCGCCGCATTCCACGCCCTCGCCCTGCCGTATCTCAGCGGCTACATTCCCTTCCCCGGCCCCGGCTTTGGATTCGGCGGCGGCAGCGGCTGCGGGACCCCCGGAAGCCCGGGCAGTCAGGGGAACAGTTCAGACGGCGCCGCCAATCCTGGTGATATCGCGCAGCCGATCTCAGAGCCCGGCGCGGCGGGAGGCGCTAGCGGCGGGGCGAGTGCGGCGATGATCCCCGGCCTTCCGCAATTGCCGCTGCCCGACGTTCCCGACCTGCCCATTCCCGGGATTCCCGGCGGGTCGGACGGGTTGAATCTGACGATGCCGTCTCTGGATAACATGACGATTCCCATGCCGCCTGAAAACTGGACCATGCCGGACTTTAACATGTCCATGCCCGACAACTGGACCATGCCGGACTTTAACATGTCCATGCCCGACAACTGGACCATGCCGGACTTGAACATGTCCATGCCCGACAACTGGACCATGCCGGACTTCAACTGGACCATGCCCGATTTTAATTGGACCACACCTAATCTGTTGACTTTCGACCCGCTTCTCGCCGCATTGAGCGCCGTGTTTTCCGGCGACGGGACGCCCGCGTCGCTGGCGGCGCTGGCAAAGGAGCGGCCCGAGGCGCTGAAGGCTCTGTCGGAGCTGCTCGCATACCACGTGGCGACGGCGGCGCTGAACGCGGCGGCCATCGCGGCGCAGTTCACGGCGGAAGCGGGCAACCTGACGACGGTGAACGGGCAGGGGCTGTGGATCAACTACAATAAGAGCGAGTCCGCCGCGCTGCTCAACGCGTACTCGCCGGCGCAGCGCGCGCTGATCAGCGAGGGGATAAGCGTGGGGTACGACGGAACCATCTACTACCCCAACGGCACCACCGTCGCCGCCAACGGCACAGTGCTGTATGACGCGGGGACGAGCCCCATAGCCGTGGACTCGGACGGCAACACCTACTTCGCCAACGGCACCGTCGTGAGCGCTAATGGCACCCTTGTGACCAACGGCACCCTCGCCTCCAACGGCACCGCCATCCCCATCGACGGGCCGGGCCTCCCCCTTCCCCCCGTCCCCCTGCCCCCTGTCGTCACGTCGTCCGCCTCCGACGGTTCGGTGGCGCCGGGCGGCGTGGCTGGCGCGCAGATGATGATGGAGCCTCCCCCCATGATGGGCGGCGGCCCCGCCGATATGCCCCCCGCCACTGCCATGCCCGGCCCCATCCAGGTGGACCCGCGCCCGGGGGACATGGGCGCAGGGGGCATGATGGGGGGCTTGGGGGACATGATGGGCGGGTGGGGGGGCATGGCGGGGTGGTGGGACAACTGGACTGCGGAGGTGCAGCAGCAGCTGCTGGGGAATGCGACTGAGTGGATGAATAAGGTCATGCCGGGGCTCAACGTGACTGCCACCGAGTACCTCGCCTGGCTCAACTCATCCTCCTTCGGCTGGTCGTCAGACTCCGGCAGCATGTGGGAACAGGCTGGCAGCGACATGAACGTGGCTCGGGTGGTGCGGGTTGATCTGATGGACAGCGCTGGCATGGTGGTGCATGGCGTCAATGGCGTGCTCTTCCCGCACTTCCGCGACTTGCCCGTGTTCCCTGTTGAGTTGGACGACTCAGACTTGACGAGGAATGGCACGGCTACCAACGGAACCACCGGCGATGGGAGCAGTTCTGCCTCTGGCAATGGAACGGCAGACGCGGGTGGAATGGCAGATGGCATTCCTACCAGCAGCAGCCCTGGAAACTCCAGTGGAGGGACCAGCAGCAAGGGAGATATCAGTAGCAGCAGCACTGTGCCTACTGCGGGGACAGCTCTGACTGGCACATCTGGAAAAACTGGTGCTAGAGGTGAGCCTGTTCATCCTCTCTCTTCCCTCTTATCTTCCACTCCCTCACCTTCCTCTTACGTACTGTGTGTGTCTGGACACATAAGCTCTGATGAATCTGAGCTATGTATGGTACCTTCCCCTGTCGTTATCTTCTTCCTATTTCTGACTAATCAACCCTTGCTTGTTTTCTTATCTTCCCTTCTTCAGGTCATCCAGCCATGCTCCCACTCTGGTCTTTTATCGTTGCAACTGTAGCTGTTCTTGCACTTGGCTGATTTTGGTTTATACTATGCCCTCACTTCAGTTGTATAAAGAGGACAAATATTTATCAGCCCCTTTCTCGTGGTAGTCGCCAGCACTCAGGGAAAGTGTGGGCCGTGCTATGTTGGCAGAATGGGTTTGCCATCAGCTGCCTAGTTTCTCTCTAGTTGACCTCTTTGAGTGCTGCATATAAATGGGATATACAATTGTTACAATTTTATTTGTACTGTTTTCTTTTACAAATTATTCCACCTCAATTCCACCCGTAACACTCTCCCAACCCTCCATATTGTATCACTAAGTGGGTGCTGTTGGATTATCTCATGCGACAGAAAGGTACTCTTCGCCAGGAAATCTCAATTTGAAATGAAAAGAAGGTTCAGCATCACGACCGCATCTGGAAACGGAGGCGGAACCCACCTCCGAGGTTTGGTTGTAATGCCGTTCAAGAAACTTCTGCGCCTGCGGTTGCGAAATTTCGCAACCGCATCAGGAGCCTCCGTCCCCACCTTCCCCCCTATCCCCTTTGAACGGCAATGCGACGGCTGTGCCATCGCTGTGCTTCGAAAAACGCAGCATGGCGATGGCATGGCTTGGGGATGGAACTTTGCCTGAGGACGAAGTTGCGTCCCCGCTTCCATATGCCGTCGAGCAGTTTGTTTTGGTTGACAAATGGGGGCGTTCGCCAGACACCCACTTTGATTGTTGGTTTGGACGGTTGAGGAGGCTCGGCACCTTCTTTACGGGCTGACCAGGCTGACGGAGGTAAACGAACCTTAACTGACGGGATCAGAAAGGCGAGACCCACCTTCCTGATCCCGTCGTTATCGCATGTTTTTTGCTTCATTGGTGCTGGCGAACAGCCCCAAACAGAAACATGTGACAAGGTGTTCTCGCGGGTGATGTGGTGCAACCTATGTTGCACCACGGCGGTGATTGACGAAGTCCATCACTTTTCGTGTTCCGTCGCGACTCTGCGCTACTGGGCGGCAATGGTCTCATACCAACTGGAAAGCGTGTCAGATTCGCAATTTAGGGTTTCGGGTGTTACCTGCCGAATTTTATCGCAAACGATTGACAAGACGAAACGTTCGACCAAACAAGCGACCAACCATGTTCCACACTCTGAGGGAACCCGGCTCTGAGCAACCACCTGGAGCTGTGGCAGTGCCAGCAAGCGGGCAGCGAAGAATTCGCGAGACAACACGATACACTTCATGGACCCTTCCGTCCACGCACACGTCACATTTGATGACAGTACAGGATGGTGTGCTGACAGGGCACGGAGCCCAAAGTTGACCCACACTGGGACAATTCACTCAGCTACTGATGGAAACCTGACGTGGACCTTGGGCTTATTTCTCAAAGCTGTGGTCCCCCAAAACAGCCGATTCGACTTGCGACGCGCACCTCTCCAACCAAACTCATCCCTTCCCCCATCCAACGTAAAGCTCGAAGCACAGAAATCATTTGCACACATCGAGTTTGGTTCCATACTTTGTCGTAGTGACTCAGCTACTATTTCGACCAACTCGGTTCACTCCTGATCTTGGCTGCCGCCAAACGAAAGCTTCCGACTCACGTATTCGTCTTAGATTCTGACCAGCAGCAGCGGCGGCCATGGCAGGAACCTTCTCCTTCGGCGCACTCAAGGACGCGAGCCCAGCAGCAATTCATCAGGTAGATTGGGGGGACCGCCGATTTGTGCTTGTGAGAAGGTTTATGACTGGGGGTGTCGTAATGATGTTCAAAGAATCACTGATTTTGAATTTAGCGTGTGCTCTTGATCTAAATTATGGTTCGTCATGTTTGGAATGCAGTTCGTGGAGGAGGAGCAGCGCCGATTTGATGCGGAAGTCGCGGAGGTCGAGGCGTGGTGGGCGTCGGGCCGCTTTGCTCTCACCAGCCGGCCCTACACTGCCAGGGACGTCGTTCGCCTCCGGGACAGCCTCCCCAAGATGTACCCTTCGGGCATGCAGGCTAAGAAGGTACAACTAAACTCGTCGTACAACTAAACTCGTTGCGGAAAGCCATCGTTTTGCAAGAAAGTTTTAAATCCTTGGTCCCATCCTTCGTTAGTAAGTCACACAATCCTGCTCTCATCCTTACTACGTCGTTGGAATTTGCTGGCTCACTCAAACAGTGATATTTGTCTGACCACCCTTTTTCCCCGCGGCATCCCCATTTCAGCTATACGCGGTACTGAAGCGGCACCAAGCAAACGGCACGTGCTCGCGCACGTTCGGGTCGCTGGATCCGGTGCAGGTGGCGCAGATGGCCAAGTACCTGGACTCCATCTACGTGTCGGGCTGGCAGTGCGCGTCGACGGCGGCGTCGTCGAACGAGCCCGGGCCGGACCTGGCGGACTACCCGTACGACACGGTGCCCAACAAGGTGGAGCACCTCTTCCTCGCGCAGTCGTTCCACGACCGCAAGCAGCGCGAGGCGCGCTTCAGCATGAGCAAGGAGGAGCGCGCGCGCACGCCGTACGTGGACTACCTGGCGCCCATCATCGCGGACGCCGACACGGGGTTCGGCGGCATCAGCGCGACGGTGAAGCTGGTGAAGATGTTTGTGGAGCGCGGCGCGGCGGGCATCCACATGGAGGACCAGGCGTCAGTGACGAAGAAGTGTGGGCACATGGCGGGCAAGGTGCTCGTGTCCACGCAGGAGCACGTCAACCGCCTCGTCGCGGCGCGCCTGCAGATGGACATCATGGGCACGGAGACGGTGCTGGTGGCGCGCACGGACGCAGAGGCGGCGACGCTCATCATGACCAACGTGGACAAGCGCGACCACGCCTTCATTCTCGGCGCTACCAACCCGCGCCTGCGCGACCAGGCGCTGGTGCAGGTGATGGCGGACGCGCAGGCGGCGGGCAAGACGGGGCAGCAGCTGCAGGCCATCGAGGACCAGTGGACGGCGGCGGCGGGGCTCCGCCTCTTCGCCGACGCCGTCGCCGACGCCATCCGCAAGCTGCCGCTGGCGGACGCCGAGAAGGCGCGCCGGCTGGACCAGTGGGCGGCGCAGGTGGGCGCGCTGTCGAACGCGGAGGGGCGCGCGCTGGCGGCGAAGCTGGGCGTGACGGAGCTGTTTTGGGACTGGGACCTGCCGCGCACGCGCGAGGGCTTCTACCGCTTCCAGGGCAGCACCAAGGCGTGCGTGGCGCGTGGCATCGCGTTCGCGCCGCACGCGGATCTGGTGTGGATGGAGACGGCAAAGCCGACCATCAGCCAGGCGCGCGAGTTCGCGGAGGGCGTGAAGGCGGCGCACCCGCAGCTGATGCTGGCGTACAACCTGTCGCCGTCGTTCAACTGGGACGCGTCCGGCATGAGCGACGCGCAGATGCAGGAGTTCATCCCCGCGCTCGCGCGCATGGGTTTCTGCTGGCAGTTCATCACGCTCGCCGGCTTCCACGCCAACGCGCTCGTCACCGACACGTTTGCGCGCGACTACGCGGCGCGCGGTATGCTGGCGTACGTGCAGGACATCCAGCGGCAGGAGCGCGCGTTCAGCGTGGAGACGCTGGCTCACCAGAAGTGGTCCGGCGCGAGCTACTACGACAGCCTCATGAAGACCGTCACGGGCGGCGTCTCGTCCACCGCCGCCATGGGCCACGGTCAGTCCGCCGCACGGGATAGGGGGCGGGGGGGGGTCAGTCACCCGCACGGGATAGGAGGGGGGGTGGGGGTCAGTCACCTGCACGGGATAGGGTGTTCAGTCACCCGCACGGGATGGGGGGTGGGGGGGGGGTCAGTCACCCGCACGGGATAGGGGGGGTGTTTGTCACGGGGATTAGGTCTTGGGTCTTGGTGGGACGGAAACACACGTGCATTGCGGGAAAGATCTTTAAGAACTATGGAGACTACAATGGAAAGCAGGAGATTCAGTCTGGTTACCAAGGCTGGGTCTCGGTCTCACCATTTGTTCCCTGCCTTCCATCCCTCTCCTTTCGGTGATACAGGCGTGACAGAGGATCAGTTCGGCTCAGCAGGCGCTGCCATGGGCGCATCGCACTTGCTGGCGTCGTTGTAATTCCGTCAAGTTATGATCCATCGTCGTTTCAACGAGCGTGCTGTACCAGCCTTCCAGCATTGGCATGATGAGTGTGATGGTGTACAGCATCGCTTGGCTTGTAAGCCCGTCGGTCTTCTGCGCATGCTGCCAGGGAGCGACATGGGCGCAACATAGGCAGTGGCTTGTTTATTGGTTGATCAAACGCTCATTTCCCGGGCTGTTATGGTCGATTGATACATCGCACAGGTTGGGGCTTTTTCATGTGTAAAAAGGATAGCTAGTGTGTGTGTGTTGTGTTCCGTGCTTACCGGTATATTTGATTCCATATGCTCATTCTACTGGTTCTACCTCTGCAGATCCCTCATTTCTTGCATCTCATTCTTCCCATACCATGTTCTGGTTTCATTTTATACACGGCTCGTGGATACTAGCATGTTGAATTCATGCCCCCAGGCACAAACCATTTTGATAGGTAATCACTTGCAGCCAGTGAGCAGCCTAGACAACCCATTAAAGCCCGCGTCTCATATATCCACCCTTCCAACCAAGTGTAATATGGTTGAAATCGGGTAACCAGTTTTAGGTCGCTGATGAGCAATGATGGTGGGCACAGGGTTGGGGTCAGGTTGGGAATGTGACTGGAGAGGAAGAGCTTGTCGTACATGTCAGCGCCAGCAATTGAACGCGCACCACCCCAAGGTGTGGAAATGCACCTGACAACGCAAAATGCTAGTCCCATGCTTCGATCGTGCGACACAACCACCTTGTGCAATGTTTCGTAGGAAAGAATGAAGAGGATGGGGGGATGCAGGGAGGGGGTTGGGGGGAAGCAGGGAAGGGGATGGGGGGAAGCAGGGCAGGGGACATGGGGAAAGTGGGAAGGGGACATGGGGAAGGTGGGAAGGGGACATGGGGAAGCAGGGAAGGGGAGGGGGGTAGCAGAAAACCGGATGGGGGGAAGCAGGGCTTGGGATAAGGGGAAAGAATGAAGAGGATGGGGGGACGCAGGGAGGGGGTTGGGGGGAGGCAGGGAAGGGGATGGGGGGAAGCAGGGCACGGGATGGGGGGAAGCAGGGAGGGGGATGGGGGGAGCTGTGAGGGGGATGGGGGCGAGGCGGGAATCTGATGGGGGGAGGCAGGGCAGGGGATGGGGGGAAGCAGGGCAGGGGACATGGGGAAGGTGGGAAGGGGACATGGGGAAGCAGGGAAGGGGAGGGGGGTAGCAGAAAACCGGATGGGGGGAAGCAGGGCTTGGGATAAGGGGAAAGAATGAAGAGGATGGGGGGACGCAGGGAGGGGGTTGGGGGGAGGCAGGGAAGGGGATGGGGGGAAGCAGGGCACGGGATGGGGGGAAGCAGGGAGGGGGATGGGGGGAGCTGTGAGGGGGATGGGGGCGAGGCGGGAATCTGATGGGGGGAGGCAGGGCAGGGGATGGGGGGAAGCAGGGCAGGGGACATGGGGAAGGTGGGAAGGGGACATGGGGAAGCAGGGAAGGGGAGGGGGGTAGCAGAAAACCGGATGGGGGGAAGCAGGGCTTGGGATAAGGGGAAAGAATGAAGAGGATGGGGGGACGCAGGGACGGGGTTGGGGGGAGGCGGGGAAGGGGATGGGGGGAAGCAGGGCACGGGATGGGGGGAAGCAGAGAGGGGGATGGGGGGGAGCTGTGAGGGGGATGGGGGTGAGGCGGGAATCTGATGGGGGGAGGCAGGGCAGGGGATGGGGGGAAGCAGGGAAGGGGAGGAGGGGAAGCAGAAAACCGGATGGGAAGAAGCAGGGCTTGGGATAAGGCGAAAGAATGAAGAGGATGGGGGGACGCAGGGAGGGGGTTGGGGGGAAGCAGGGAAGGGGATGGGGGGAAGCAGGGCACGGGATGGGGGGAAGCAGGGAGGGGGATGGGGGGGAGCAGGGAGGGGGATGTGGGGGAGCAGGGAGGGGGATGGGGGCGAGGCGGGAATCTGATGGGGGGAAGCAGGGCAGGGGACATGGGGAAGCAGGGAAGGGGAGGGGGGGAAGCAGGAAACTGGATGGGGGGAAGCAGATGGGAAGGGAGGCGGGAGGGAAGGCGAAGGCGACGAGCAGTGGATGGCAGGTCGACGGGGAAAGCGAGGGCAACGGGGAAAGCGAGGGCGACGGGGAAAGCGAGGGCAACGGGGAAAGCGAGGGCGACGGGGAAAGCGAGGGCGACGGGGAGAGAATTGACGGGGGACGAAGGTAGGGCGACGAGCAGAACGGACGGCGACGGGAAGGGAGAGCGACGGGAAGGGAGGGCGACGGGAAGGGAGGGCGACGGGAAGGGAAGGCGTGGTAATGGGGGTGCGATCCCGTGGAGGCCAATGTGCGGGAAGCAGTGGGGGAGGCGTGTGTGATAGGATGTTCGACTCGAACGCATTGTTTTACTCACGCGCCCATTCATCGGCGCCTCGATCCGCCCCGGCAGCGGTGGATTCCGCCATTCCACGCGCGACGTGCAAATTATCCGTCGTAGCTAGATGTGTGAGGAGCTTTTCAGGAAGGAAGGTGCAACTAACCAGGTGTGTTTTGGTAAAACGGGAAGGGGCTTGTGTGCTGGAGGAGAATGACAGCTCCCGAAAATGTGTGTTGTGTTTTTGTCGTCTGTGTTTGTCGCAGGGAGTGTGTGTTTCAAACCCCACGACCCTGTTTTCACTGGTTTGGGTGTGTCAACAGGTTAGGGTGCAAATTTTTTCCATGTCCGGACAGAGCCCCCAAAACGTCCGAACGGAGCTCTGTCCGGAAGTTTGGGACTCAGGTCCGGACGACAGCCCGTCCGGACCACAAATGTGGAACTTTTTGACTTGTCGGAAAAATGGAGATTCGCCCCAAAATGTGCCAGCATTACAGCAGTCGTACAACACTCGTGACTTTCGCCACAAAAAATCTGAGTTACGGTCTGGGTAAGGTCGTGACCCGATTCGTCCGCCAAAGACAGCGCAGACACAACGGGCGGTCCGGACCAAATTTTAGCAGAATAGTGTCAGCTTTGGCCCGGACGGTAACGACGTCGTAGAGGGGCTTGCGAGCTTTTCTACGAACTACAACGAATCAGTAACCCTACAAAAGTCCGGACGGTGCCTCCGTCCGGACAGTGAAAAGTGAAAAAGTTACGCGCCCTCAGGGCGTTAGGGCTGGTGAGTGTTCAGGTTTCGCCCAAGTCACCCCTCCTCTCGTGCAAAACTTCGCTGCTCGTGCACCAATCCCAGGCGCCAACACCCAACAAAGTGTAATACGTTAGAAAATATGAGACGCTGGTTTTAACTATCTTATCTTGCACATCCCTGTGACAAGCACACACAATATATAGCCCATGGCCGTAGCACATCCGTTGCATGGAAAAATTCGGCCGGCCGGAATTAGGGAAGGTAACACATTCGCGACATCCGCAAAGATTTTCGGATAGTTCGTCAAATCCGGTCATTTGTAAAAAATTTGATGGCGAGTTCAGCATTCGACAAAGTCCCGACGTGCAGTCGACTCGAAAGTCGACCAATTTGTCGACCTGAGATCGTTACAGTCACTACGCGACGTCGCCAACTGGTGCGACGCAACGTGTCACACAAGTACTGCATCTGCGATTCCGTCGCACAATCCGGCGACCCTGGCGAACTGCAAATCTGACACATTTGCAAAGCGGCCATCAAATCGGCCACCAAATGTGTCAGATTTTTCGGCCCTGTAAATGCGGCCGGATATTGGTCGTAATTGAAGTCGACCATATTGTCGACTTTGGCGAAAGATATTGTCGACCAGATTGTAGACCGAATTCCGGCCAAATCACCTTGTAACGGATCTGACGCGCCCTTACTCATCGACACAAAGCCGTATGATATCGCTTTCGTCATCGTCACTTCCCATCAGTGCATGCATGCATGCTTCTGACACCTAAAATTTACATCTTACAGCTTAAGGCGCGGAACATTTGAAACTCTACGAATTTTTTCCGTACGGGTGTCCCCAGTTGCATACCCTCGTCCGGTTTGGTCCCAAACGGATGACGGTTCGGACCATACCTCGTCCAAGGCTGAAGTCGGAACATTTGAACGGTTTTTACATCTGAGGTTTCAAACGTCCCCACAGGCGACTGGCCATCAGGGTTGGCCCTCTTGCAAGCAACACATCGTCAATCTGGGGGGAATATGGCGATGTCGCCTGGCATTGAAAGAATGACCCAAAAGCAGACGCGCGATGACTGTACATGTGAGGTCCAAACGGGGCAAAACAACCCGTTCGAACCGTTGTGAGAGTGAGCTCATAGTTAGATGTTCCAACAGTCGTCCGAATCTTGGCGACATCGCAAACCCATTGACGAACTTCAAAGCGAAAACCCACGAAGTGGGTCACCACATCGAGTTTCGAACGGGGCTCTGGTTCGAACAGACCAATTTTCAAATGTTCCGCGCCCTTAGATGCAACACGCCAGCCCACTGTCTACCCCTCACGAAAAAATAGAGGTTCGATCAGAATCATTTCTCCCCTCTTCTCTTCTCGGAGGATTGTTGACTTCAACTTAGTGGAACAAGATTGCATTTGGTTGTATGATTTCCTTTTCAAGTACGAACAGCGTCAATGGTGAACCCAGGAGAGAGCTGCCATGCATTTATTCAGGGCCTGGATTAGATAATGGTAGGATATAAGGGACCCAGATGTAAATGCATAAAAAGTACCGGTAGGTAGATGGAACAGCAGGTCCGAATTATAGGGAGGATAACCCTAAACCCTAAGCCCCATCAGGAAGGGCCGAATCGAGTGAGACAGGGTCGGGGCGGGAATGGATGCATCGCGGAAAAGGGAAGTGCGAAAAAAAACTTTAAAGTAAAGAAACCGCAACTCTAGGGTTACTTGGACTTCGCAAGAAAAGAGTCAAGGTTCAAAATCGTGGGTGCACGAGTGACTTGTTCAGCAACTTATGCGTCACTTTACGGGCAGTTTCCGGATACTTATAACATGGAAACCACAACACGTATGCGGTTTCCAAATCCATCCCCAAAGTCGCTTGTCTAGTTACTCACCATCCTACGTGCAAGTGACGCGACGACATCACCTGCAAGCTGCAAAAACGCATCACAAGAGCCCCCACTCGTACTGCAACTCCACGTGGCGAACCATTTCAACATCCGCCGCCACATAGGCGATCAATTCGACAAGTGAACGCCATCTCACACCGTCAGATCTTTGTGCTTATAACTCAATCCTGACTTTACAAGTGTCGCAAGCATAAAATCTCGCACTATGCGTAACCCCTTTTCGCGATGAAAATCGCGAGTCCCGCCACTATCACACCATCACATCCCATCCATTCATCTCCACCACCACAACGCACCACTATATGACACGTACCATTAACTGGAACCAATCACACAGCACCTCAACAGAGGCCGAAACCTCAATCCAGTCACTACAAGTGTCGTCTCACTACAAACTCGCACGCTGTGTTACATATTCGCAATCCTCATGTCGCCAACGTCGTCAACACGGCCAACTCATACCTCAACCGATTATCCCTACACCCAGCATGCATCACCCATAGGACACGTGACGGTTACCGCATCCGACACCATACTCTGTTAAAATGCATGGCGACCGCCCATTCTTACCCCCATCGTGCTCCGACGACCATACACGTGTCACACACCCATGCTTTCGTCACGAAGCGTTACTAATCCACGATACCATTTCGCATACAACGCAAGCACAAGCGCGAAACCATGTGGACCGTCCTCATTTCGCCACGTCAGCGAAACCACACGAACCGACTCACAGCCCTAACCACACAAAAACCGCCTTTCCATCAATTCCAGCGAATCCCGTGCAGACATCTGGTAATCCGCGCAACATTTCAAACCTATCACAAGACTCCTTCTACATCCACTTCTCCATCACATCCGCAGAATATTGGTGTCAGATATTTACCTCACGTATGCGATTTAGTCTCCACATTCTGCTGTCCACCTTTCCCCGTGATTTACGGCAAAAATGCCGCCGCAAATCACGGCGCGCTGCGACACGCGCCGCCCATACTGGCAATACTCGGTACCACACCGTCCACTACCAATTCTCTACGCATCAGCTCCACTTCCAAACGAGCGACATGGGAAAATGAATACTATTTCAGCAACAAAACCAACTATATGGTACAAGAAACCGCATACAACACCACACTTTCCGCATACCTACCCCACTTAAAGTGTCTCCCTACCCATAACCACCCTGCAGTACATCAGAAACCAAACAACAGCAAAAAACTATGACATTCGAAGTACCATACGTCTTGCAGCGCAAACCCAATCGATGGCTACTCTACTCATCACCAACGGACGCGGACAACTCTTCGTCACAGCCGAGATCGTCGGCTTGGGATCCGCCTGCAGGCCTCATCCCTTCGAGCCCACTAACCGAAATAAGCGAACCGTGGCGGCCCCAAATCCAGGCCTGACGCTCAGCATCCCATTCGGGATTGAACACCCCAATAGCCCTCTCAACAGCTCCTTAGGCGAGCACCTTGAGCCCATTGACCACATGGCCGTTGCCACCCGCAGAGTTGGAAAGGCGACCTTTGCGCTCCTCCCAATACATGACAGCATCCGTTACCTGCAACAACCATGTAACCAATTTAGCCAGCCCGACGAGAGATAAAAACCGCCACACCATCCAAGCCTTCAAACTCACCACATGCTCGAGCCAGGCCAAGTGGTACACATTCAGAGTGAGAGGAACTCCTGGCTTCTTCGGCTTGAATGCAGCCTTGGCGCACGCGACAAAAGCAGCGGATGCAAATGGCATGCCTTGGCGGTCGTTGCTCCAGTTTGACAGCGCAAGAGTTTCTGCACATACCACAAACCGAAGTAGGTTTAACACTAGTAAAGACAAAGACATGTCGACTGCTGTCACCACAGCACAATGACTCATCACGTACCTGCTTCCTCACCGGCCAGCCCTATGCGTTCCCGGATCTTCTCTGCGCTGCGCTCCTTCTCCGGTGCCCATGGGCTCGAAGCATCTATCTCGTCACGGAACAACCCGAGCTTTGGAAGCGCGATATCTCTAACTCGCGCTGCAACACGGGTCTTCCACTCGCTCAACGTCTTGTTCAAATCAGCTCGACGTGACTTGTCAGCAGCCAATGCCAGGCACGCGTAACTGTAGGGCAGACGATCTAAAACCGCACAAACCCCGTCGGTTTTGTCGTCGCTACTCGGGTAAAACGTTATCGTTGCGTACGGCTTGCTCATAAACAGGTACACCCTGGCTAGGTCGCACATGCGCTGCACACCACGTGGGAAAATAGGACACCCAAAGCAATTTTACGATGAACACCTTAAAATTTACCTCACTTATCGAGTCTGCCCAAATGATACCAACCATACATGTCGCACGCCTCACCTTCCACGCCTTGTCTGCAGGGAACAGATCAAGCGCGCTCTGCAGCACAGGCAACCTTGAAGACCTCATATGGCGCCGGCGCGAATCATCACTCTCGTCGTCCTCGTCGCCTTCAGAAGCGTCACTGCGCGCCTCCACACGGCGACGTTTCGGGTTGGCACACCCGAGCCCGGGATCTCTCTGCTTCTCCGCTTTCCGGCGACATGACCCACCATGACTCTGTGCCAAGGCTTTCATCAACATTTCTTCCACACGAGCCACGGTCTTAGCGTTGTCATCTTGCGCCCGCTTAAGACTATCAAACACGGCGCCATACACGGGCACCTCCTCGGAAGGGTTTCGTGACCCCTCTGGTGTTGCACGCAAGGCGACCAGCGGGTCATCACCCTCCACTTCAAGAGGTTTATCTTTGCCCCCTTTTGATGCAATAATCGCTCCAAAATGAACATGGTCGGCTGGCTTGGTTTTAGCCTGCCCCTCATCGCTCTCGCCCTTGCTCGCGGACTGCGCCGATTCGGAATCTTCGGCATCAGGATAGTCGCGCTGTTGTGTCGCCTCAGTGGTTTCGATGCCCTTGGTTTCCTCTGCCCAAAAATGGCATAGTAAGCGGAAATCAATAACAAACTCTATTCAGACTCCTACAACAACAAACATTGTTGTCTGTAGTAATAAAACAGAGAATTTAACCCCTACACATACAACACGCGTGCACAACCGACTTCCGCATACCTTCGCCCCCAGAGGTTGCGGTCTTCTTCAGCCTCTGAAAGTTCAACTTCTTGGGGACATTAGATCCCCGAGGTCCCATTGCACCACGACCAATAGGAGCGACTAGTTGATAAGACGCCCGCAAATACGCTGGCGCCTGCGTCGCCCTCCTGGATCTCCCAGCAGGCTCTGTGTTCTGGGAGGCGATGGAGTTTTCCATCTTGGAGAAGGTAATGAGAGAGAGTGATTGTAGTGTTCCGTCTATGACGTCTTCTTCAACAAACACGTATGAGAATTCTTCACCTTCAGGTATGCACAAACCAATAAAGGTATTCGGTAACCAGTCATAATTGGCGATTACCGCAATCGACACGTCCAATCGTACAACGCTACATCAGCATCAATGAGAACCACCAAAACCATATCACATCGGGCCAGTCTGGCGCATGAAAAGGAAACTCGTGTAGGTTTATCAAAACCGCATACCGCATGGAAACATCAGTCGGGCCAACGTCAACACTATAACATATTTTTACTTATCTCACACAGAGCACACACACAGCCTCTGGTTCCCTAAAAATCTACTTCGAATGGCTTACGCATACAAAACAATATCCGAACAAATCACATTTACACAGCAACCATTTGCTCTACATTACTAAGAATCTCCACATCACACGAAAACACACATATCCGGTGCCTACCCCTCACCATTCCTACTCCGTACCATCATCGTCACCATCTTCCTCGCACACGTATTCTGCATCACCCTTGGAGCCCTCATCTCCCTCTTCGCCCTCAACACCGTCATCCTCATCTTCCTTGCCGATCGCACCCTCAGACTGCACTTCTTTCTCCATGAGGTCGGGCCCAACATTACGTACCAGCTCCGTTTGTAAAGTTCCACCACCATCACTACCCACCGCTTCAACAACCCCTCCACCCGCCGACTTGACGTTGGTTCGCCTTGTCAGATTTATATGACATAGTTGCTGTAGGCTATAGTGGGGTAGCACATATGGGGTACAGGTTTTCTAGGGTTGTATTTGTACCCAATCTTTCCTTAGTCATTTCATTCCTGCTTACTCATTTTCACATGGTATAGAGCGGGTTCCCTGTGGAACTCTGCCTAGGGCCCACCGAAGCGCGCCCCGAGGCGCGCTCAACTTTTTTTTTCCGCTATCGAGCGACCCTCCGTGTCGCCTCCCTCCCACACGCGGCCCAGCCGCCCGCTAAGTCGCGGCCCCAGCCGCCCGCTACGATCGCGGCCCCAGCCGCCTGCTCGACGCGGCCCCCAGCCGCCTGCTCGACGCGGCCCTTCCGCCCGCTACGCCGCGGCCGCCGCCCACTAATCGCGGCCCCGGCCGCCTGCTACGACCGCGGCCCCAGCCGCCTGTTCGACCGCGGCCCCGCCGCCCGCTCCTGCCGCGGCCCCCCAGCCGCCTGCTCGACGCGGCCCCCCAGCCGCCTGCTCGACGCGGCCCTGCCGCCCGCTACGCCGCGGCCGCCGCCCACTACGATCGCGGCCCCGGCCGCTTGCTACGACCGCGGCCCCAGCCGCCCGTTCGACCGCGGCCCCACCGCCCGCTCCTGTCGCGGCCCCGGCTGCCTGCTTGCACGGCCCCGCCGCCTGCTACGACCTCGGCGCCAACCGCCTGTTCGACCGCGGCCCCGCCGCCTACTTCCGTAGCGGCCCCGGCCGTCTTCTCGCGCGGCCCCGCCGCCCACCTACTACCGGGAGCCGAGCCGCGCTGCAGCCGAGCCGCCCGGGAGTCGAGCCGCCCTGCACCCGAGCCGCCCTGTCGCCGAGCCGCCCGGGAGCCGAGCCGCCCTGCCCCCGAGCTGCCCTGCCGCCGAGCCGCCCGGGAGCCGAGCCGCCCTGCGCCCGAGCCGCCCAGCACCCGAGCCGCCAGGTCGCTGAGCCACCTTTCTGCATACTTACTCGACCTGCCCTGCCTGGTGAGCACAGTCCCACTGCCACTGCGAGCTCTTTCCCTACTGCTTGCACTGTATCGCTGTCGTCGCCATGGCTACCCCTAGTGTCCTAGTTTTTGACGCTGAGGGTCGCGCCATTGATTTTGAGGTCTGGTTAGACGACCTGCAGCTGTTCTTACAGTGCGACAGGGCTGACGACCTTTCTCTCTTTGACCTCACCTCTGGCGCCTCTCCTGCTCCTGCTGCTGATGCTGATCCTGCTGTCCGCTCTAAGTGGGCCACCCGCGATGCTGCTGCACGTCTTGCTGTGCGTCGCCACCTCCCTACCTCTGAGCGTGCGCACTTTAGTCAGTACAAGAGTGCTCAGACCTTGTACGACGCTGTAGTTGCGCGCTACTCCTCCCCTGCCACTGCTGCACTGAGCCGTCTCATGCTTCCCTACCTCTTTCCTGACCTCTCTGCCTTTCCCACTGTCGCTGACCTCATTACGCACCTCCGCACTAGTGACACTCGCTACCGCACCGCCCTTCCTGCTGAGTTCTGCGCTAAGAACCCCCCCCCCATGTACATCGCTCTCTACTACGTAGTCGCGCGCCTCCCTGACTCCCTTCGCGTCGTGAGGGACCACTTTCTCGCAGTCTGTCCCACCAGCCTCACCGTCGACCTCCTCGAGAAGGCCCTCCTTGCAGCGGAGAAGAGCATAGTCGCTGTAGGTGCTTCTCGTGGTGACCCTCGCACCCCCATCTTTGAGGGGTGCTCTCCTTCCCCCTTGCTGCCCTCTGTTGCCTCTGCTGCTGCTGCCGACCTGCTTGGTCTTGAGTCGGTCGGCGCGGCGTCTGCCCCTAGTGGGAGACGTCGCTCCAGCAAGGGCAAGGGGGGCAAGGGCGCGGGTGGAGCTGGAGGGGGCGGTGGCGGTGGCGGCGGTGGCGGCGGAGGGAGTGGGGGTGGCGGCGGGACTAGTGGTGATGGTGGTGGTGGTGGTGGCAGCAGCGGCGGAGACGGTGGTGGTGGTGCCAGCGGTGGTGGTGGAGGCAGCGGCGGCGGTGGAGACGGCGGAGGTGGAGGCGGTGGAGGCGGCAGCGGAGGCGGCGGTGGTGGTGGAGGAGGTGGAGCTGGTCGAGGTGGTACCCAGCAGCGTAGCGGCGGTGGTGGTGGCCAGCGCTCGCACCGGCAGCAGCAGCAGCGCTCGCGGGACATCCCTTCGCCTCAGCAGCTTCGTGAGTGGTACGCTGGGCGTCAGAGGGGTGGGGGTACTGGTCCCTGCACCTACGTTCTTCGTTCAGGCGACCGCGCGGGTGAGCAGTGTGGGGGTGCCCACGCCACCCAGCGCTGCTTTGGCCGCCTGACGGACGCCTGGCGTCAGCAGTTCCCTGGGGCTAGTGAGATCCCTCGCTGGGATGAGCTTCTCAGGGCTGGTGTAGCGATCTTTGATCTGGATTTTGATGCTATCCTTACTGCTATGTATGTTGTGGATTATAGTGAGGAGAATGAGGGTTACCGTTGTTTCCAGCCCGACCCGGGCATTGGTACTGCTGCGCTAGGTGCTTGTGAGGCTGCTGCTCTAGGTGCCAGTGCGTCTGCGCTCTCAGGTACTGGTGAGACTGCGCTCTCAGGTACTGCGTCGTCCTCGTCCTCCCTCACTTTCACACTTGACTCTGGAGCTTCTCGCTCCTTCTTTCGAGACCGCACTACCCTTACGCCGCTCGGCCGGCCGGTTGCGGTCTCCCTTGCTGACCCCTCTGGAGGTCCTGTCCTGTCTCACTTCTCCACTGTCCTCCCGTGTCCGGCTGCCCCTTCGGGCACCCTGTCGGGTCTGTACCTTCCCTCGTTCTCTACGAACTTGGTGAGTGGAGCGGACCTGCAGGATGGCGGTGTTCACCAGTTCACTCCTGCGAGACAGCGGGTGACCCACTGCACGGAGGCACGCACAGGCCGACACCTGGCCACCTTCTCGAGTCGGCCGGGGTCGAGTCTCTACACCCTGACCGTTGAGTCTCCTCCTGTCCCTGCGTCTGGTCAGGTGGCTGCGTCGGGTCAGGTACTTGCTGCTGCGTCCCGGTCAGGTCCTGAGTCTGCCCCCTGTTCTTGTCGCCTCCTGTCTCACGAGACTCTCCTGTGGCACCACCGTCTTGGCCACCCCTCCTTGCCCCGTCTTCGGAGCATGGCTTCCCGTGTCCTTGTCTCTGGTCTTCCCCAGTCTCTCCCTCCTCTCCCCTCCGGGCCAGGACCTTCCTGTGTCCCCTGTGTCGAGGGTCGCCTCCGGGCTACTCCTCACTCCTCCCACTTCCCCCCGACAGAGGCTCCCCTGCAGACGCTTCACATGGATGTGTGGGGCCCAGCCCCCGTCCGTGGGCAGGGTTACGAGCGCTACTTCCTGTTGGTGGTTGACGACTACTCGCGTTACACCACAGTCCTCCCCTTGCGCAGCAAGGGTGCGGTCACTGAGGTGCTGATCGACTGGATCCGCGAGGCTCGTCTCCAGCTCAGGAAGAGCTTCGGCTCGGACTTTCCTGTTCTGCGTCTGCACTCTGACAGAGGCGGAGAGTTCTCTTCTCGCCTTCTGCGAGACTACTGTCGTGCACGGGGGATCCGCCAGACCTTCACGCTTCCGGACTCACCACAGCAAAATGGGATTGCTGAGCGCCGCATTGGCATGGTCATGGATGTCGCTCGTACGTCCATGATGCATGCGGCTGCCCCCCATTTTCTGTGGCCGTTTGCGGTGAGGTACGCGGCGCATCAGCTCAACCTTCACCCCCGGGTCTCTCGGCCTGCGATGTCCCCAGCCTTGCTGTGGACAGGGAAGGTTGGCGATGCGTCTGTGTTCCGTGTCTGGGGATCTCGGGCGTTTGTTCGCGACTTGTCTGCGGACAAGCTGTCCCCTCGTGCTGCTCCCTGTGTCTTCCTTGGCTTCCCCACTGACGCCCCAGGGTGGCAGTTCTACCACCCCTCCTCTCGTCGTGTTCTGTCCTCCCAGGACGTCACGTTCGACGAGTCAGTCCCCTTCTACCGTCTCTTCCCCTACCGCACTCCTTCCCTCCCCCCTCCCCCGGACTTCCTTGTGCCGGTTCCCCCCCCGGTAGACCCCCTCCCCTCTCAGGTTCCTGCCCCCTCAGGTGTGTCCCAGGTAGACGCCGTTGACCCGGTCGAGGTTACTGGTGACTCTGGTGCTGCTACGGGTGCTGAGCCTGGGGGTGCTGACTCTGGGGGTGCTGTGCGCGGGGGTGCTGAGCCTGGGGGTACTACTGCTGGGGGTGCTGGGCCTGAGGGTGCTACTGCGGAGGGTGCGGAGCCTGGGGGTGCTGAGCCGGGGGGTGCTGTGCCTGGAGGTGCTGGGTCTGGGGGTGCTGGGTCGGGAGCTGCTGAGCCTGGGGGTACTGAGCTGGGAGCTGCTGAGCCTGGGGGTGCTGCGTCTGGTGCTGCTGAGCGTGGGGTTTCTCCTGCTGCTGCGTCTCGCCGGGAGCCCCTCTCTCCACAGGAGCTGCGCGAGTGGTTCGCTCGCCGCTGGAGGCGTGCTGCTGAGTCTGGAGGTGCTGCTGGAGCTGGAGCTGGGACTTCTTCGACCGTCGAGGGTGCGGGTGCTGCCGGTCCCGGAGCTGCTGGACCTGCGGGTCCTCCTGGAGCTGGAGCTGCTGAGGGCGTTCGTGCTGAGCCTGCTGCTGTTGGTCCTGCCGCTGGAGGTGTGGGTGGCGCTGGTGCTGTCGCTGAGGGTGCTGGTGCTGTCCCTGCTGAGTCTGGAGCTGCCGCGCGGCCTCGGCCGTACTTCGTTCCGCTCCTGCAGCAGGTTCTTGGTCTTTCTCCTCCAGTAGAGGGTCCACCGCCTGTCCAGTCGCAGTCCCTACTGGAGCCTTCCTCTCCACTGCCTGCTCCCTCTCCTTACACTGGTCCTACTGGAGGTCTTGCTGAGCGTCGTGAGCCTGCGTCT